GTGTTTCCCTGCAGACAGCCAACAGTAACCATCAGCAGTCTGTGATCGGCAGCAGGTTGGAGGATCTGAGGAAAATGATGGAGTACACACAGGTATGTAGTCCAGTACTACTGTAGTCCTACTGCAGTACTGCAGTACTACTGTAGTCCTGCTGTAGTCCTACTGCAGTAGTACTTTGAATGAGTGAACAACTGTACTGTGTCACCAGCTTATTCGTGCAATAGGCTGCTGTACTGACAGCAGAGAGTCCAGCTTCCTGTTGGTGTGTGTCTGCAGGTGTGTCCAGATCAGCTGTTTCCTGTGCTGTCATCAGTCAGGGAGGAGCTCAGGAAGCGCTGTCAGTACCTGGACCTTGACCTGGTGAGTTAGCACCTGTCTGCCTGGACCCAGCTGCTGTCTACCTGCTGGTGACCTGGACCTGTGTGTCCATGTGGTCCACTCTGTGTCCACGTAGGTTTCAGTTTGTTCTTCTTGTGTATTCAGGCCTCTGTGCTGCAGGACACTCTCACCCTGCCGGCTAACGTCAGGAAGCAGGTGTGTCCAGCGCCTGCTTCTGGCTTATTGCAGCCCAGCAGAACAGGTGTGGACCTCCTGGAGGACCCTGTTGTGGGTGTCATCAGGTTCCTGAACAGGTATGTGCTGCAGGACACAGCTGTGGTGTGGGAGGATCGTGGTGGTGGAGACGTTTAGACGTTGTCCATGATTCTGTCCAAATCTTGCAGGTTCAGTTTGACTGAAGACGCTGCAGCAGAAAGCAACCAGAGAGGAGCTGCAGGTAAACAGCTAACACCTGGTTCACTTCCTGTTTGAGCCCAAACTTCCTGTTTCATTAATTATTTCCAGTTTTATTGTGCCTTAACAATCTGGCTGCCTCTTTTCTGCGCCAGTAGTTTGTGTGTCTGCAGATGAGAGTCCTGTCCAGCGTCAGCAGTCCGTCAGCACACTCAGGTAAACACACAGACAGGTGTGATGAAGGGGAACCAATCAGTGAGCCCCTCAAACATAACATGTTCCAAAGCTTAAGAGCTTTTTGGCTTTCTCCTGCAAACAACTTAGTTTTGGAGAACTTCTAAATGAGACATGGAACAGATGTGGTGATTTCAGGCTCAGGTCAGAGTCACTTGATAACTTTCCTGATGGAACGTCACAAAGTAGAAAATCTGAGGATTCTTTCTGTTTCTACAGCTTCTAGCTGGTACATGGGGTCATTTTAGTAATTTTCTTAAAAGATAACATCCTTTCTAAGATTTTGAGGTTCAGAGGGTAAACAGAGGTTTGTAAAGGAGGGAACAGACCAGAGACCTGGACTAGAAGCCAGACCAACATACCAGGACATCTACCCCTAACAGCCCACTCAGGGCAACCGGTCCTACGACGGTGGTCATCAGCTCGGTAAGTCAACCCAGGTCTGTCTGATCTGATCTGAGCGCGTGCACATAAAATGGGCGGAGTTATGGGCCTCTGACCAATCAGGACTACGGCCCGGTCTGGCTGCAGAGCGGCTCACTTTACCGCCGAGGAGCAGAACATCATCTGGACCAGATATGAAGAACATAAAACCATGATAGGAGCAGAAAGAGAGCAGAGCAGGAAGGAATGGTGGCAGGAAGCTGCTGCCTGTGTGGACGATCAGCTCATTAGTTTAAAATAAAACCTGATCACTGCTCATCATGAAGGCTCGTATCAGACCAGCAGCACATCTCAGGACTCCTTTAGCTCCTGTGCTGCCTGATGGACAGACTCGTGGCCTATCTGACATGTTCTACCTCCAGCTGCAGCCCTGGAGGTGTAGAAAGGACGTGGGAGCAGATGGAGAACCACCAGAACCATGATCCAAAGCGGTGCAGCTCATTAACGTGTCCTACAGATACGAGCTTTGATGCTGTAGTCAGTTTGCTGCTGTGGCTGATGTTGATGGAAATAAATATGAAGCAGCTTTGACACTGTCTGTAGCCAGCAGGAGACACATGAACTAAGGCAGACAGGAGCTCATAGAGATCCTGGTCAGGGGGCACTAAGGGGTTCTGCTGGTCCTGAAAACCCCTCACAGTCCTCAGTGGTCCCTCACAGTCCAGCTCCGATGTGTAGCGGCTCTTCTATAGATGCTGATGAAGCCATGTTGGTGAGAGCTGCTTCGTTTTCTGTCCTTCTGAAGGTTTACGGCAGAGAACTGGTTTCCAGTGGAGGTGTTTTATACCACTGGTCTCAACCTCCAGCAGAACCTGCTGCGGAGCAGGTTAGCCGTTCAGCTAGGTTACCATGGTGATGGACCCGGTAAGAAGAGAACCACCGTCGTAGGACTGAAAACCAATGATCTAACCTGAAGCTACCTCGCTGACCCCAGATCCTGCTTCTAGTCCAGGCCCCTGAAACAGCTGATGGAGGGAGGCGACGACTGACAAGAACGAGACAAAGACGTTCACTGAATAACAAGGGACATGATGCACAGCAACACGTCATCCACAACACATAAAACAGAATCCTGTCGCTCATGTCTGTCCAGTCCTTCCCAGTTTATAGAATCCAGTGGACATGTTCAGGAGCTCCCACTCATTCACGCTTCTTCTGAAGAAATGTTTGTCCGCTCAGTCCCTCTGCTGGTGTTTGTAGTTCAGCAGCAATGAACTCTGATTCTTGATTTATTTTAAGAGCAGCAGTTTTCTTTTGAGCTGTGATCAGAAAGTTCTGAGGCCGTGCCTGTAGAAGTCCAGGTCAGACCTGGAGGGCCCACCTGGTGCAGTGCTGCTCTGCTCCCAGAGCTCCTGCAGCGCTCGGACCCGCTCTGTCAACATGTCGGCTCCTCAGAAGGTCGGATCCTCCAGCTGCTGACTGGCACCATGTTGGAGCTCTATGGAGCAACTGGCGATGTTACACAAACATCCTGAGCCAGAACCACCAGATCTGGTCTGCTAGAACACAGGCGACTGTGACGCTCCAGGAGCGGTCACAGAACTTTGTGGTGCACCTTGTTCTGTGTAATACCTTCTTTAATTTGCTGAGAACTTCAGTTTGCACTTGTAGTAAACAGTTGGACTGGTGTTCTGAACTCACTGTCTGTTACTCACCTGTGGTCAGCGTGAGGAGGAGCTGCAGGTCCATCAGGATGGACACAAGGTTCCACAGATTTGGACTCAAACCAGAAGCAGAACCAACCACATGGTGAGTCCAGGTGGATGTGTCCAGGTGTGCTCAGGTGTGTCCAGGTGTGTCCAGGTGTGCTCAGGTGTGCTCAGGTGTGGTGTTTCTGTGTTTCAGCTCCTTCAGCTCCTCATTGAACTCTGTCCTGCAGAAAGCAAACGACGACCTGCTGCTGCTCGCTGAGGTGACTGAAACAACCCACCTGTCAATCTTTTCTTCTGTTGCGTGTCTGTTGTGTGGACGTTTTGTTGCGTTGCGTGTCTGTTGTGTGGACGTTTTGTTGCGTTGCGTGTCTGTTGTGTGGACGTTTTGTTGCGTTGCGTGTCTGTTGTGCGGACGTTTTGTTGCGTTGCGTGTCTGTTGTGCGGATGTCCACAGCACCGTGTCTTCGGTCCTCCTGCAGGACTTCTACTGCAGTCGGCGTGTCACCAGGTCCCAGCTACTTCCTGACTCCGTGGACCAATGGGCTGACGGCATGCAGCAAAGGCTGCTGGGATACCAGGAAGAGGCCCAGAGGTTTCTGAGCATGAGCAGAGAGGGTAGGCTCACACACCACCGTGTTTCTGTATCTATGAGGACCCAAAGGGACTTCATGCATTCCCTGTTCCAAGGCCAACCAGAACCAGAACCTGAACCTGGTTCTGGTTCTGTCTATGTGTCAGAGGTGGTGCAGCAGTGTTCTGTGCTGGGGCGGTTGCTGCGTTCGCTACCTGCAGTTTTGATCCTGAACCACGAGCGACAACAGGAGGCGGGGCTTAGGGAGGAGGTGGGCGGAGTCAGACAGAAGCTGGAGGAGATGCAGGCTGCCAGCAAGAAGGAGAGGGTACAACACTGAAACACACAACGACACACAAAGACCTGCTGCTGAGTGGGTTGTGTGTCTGACTGTGTGCCTGGTTGTGTGTCTGTGTTGCAGGTTGTGTGCGTCTCTCGGCTGCGGCCGTCTCTCAGTCAGTGTCAGCTGCAGACTCTGACCAGCAGAGAGGAGCAGCGTCAGCAGCAGCTGTTCAGCGCCACCTGCAGCGCACACCTGGAGATACAGGTTGGAGGGGGCGGAGACACAGTGACACCTGGTCACACCACCTCACCTGCTGCCTCACACTGTGTGTGTGTGTGTGTGTGTGTGTGTGTGTGCAGGAGTGTGTGCGAGTCAGAGGGGAGGAGTTTGTGACATCATTGGTATCTCTGACAGAAGAGCTGCTGCATGAGTTCGACAGGCTGCTGACACCTGCAGGTAACTCACCTGTTCTCACCTGTATGACCTCACGGCACGAGGACCACAGCTCCCTCTGACCTCGTGACCTTCAGGTGTGTTCTGTTTCCATAGAAACCGATGCAGCATCAACACACTACAGCACTGTTACCATGGAGACCATGGAGACAGGAGCTGAAACAGGAAGCAGGTACTGTCTGAGCTCAACAGCTCAACAGCTCCTTCATAATAAAAGCCTGAAGGCTCCTTCACAGCGTGTGTGTGT